ATGGATGTGTGATTTAAATTCAATGATACAAAATTATTATAAAAGATAAACGATTCTGAGCGAAGAAAAATAAATCAAATCCAGTACCTATAGCCATTATTTAAGTATCCATTCAACAAAAAGACATTGTAAAAAAGGTGCTCTGATGTACAGTAGGTTACAAGTGGGTCACTGTATGATGGATGGTGTTAAATTTGAATTCAATGATATAATATCATTGTATAAGAAAAAAGATTGTGAGCGAAAACGGATAGTCAGCCTATGATATTGCGAAGTATATTTGATGATACTATAAGGCGAATAAAGTAATTTATATAAAACTTATTTACGAATAAATTTTCAATCTTTAGCTATAAAAGTTGAAAACAAATAAAGTTTTATTGACATTCATAGAAAAAAAACGGTCAGTCAGCCTATGATATTACAAAGTATATTTATAATTTGTTGATAATATTATGAATTAAGGGGAACGCAGCAGACGTATTTTTCATGCGTTTTAGACCAATAAGCGGTAGTAAATTACACATACTTCGGAATGTCCGATTTAAATTTTTTTACATGTATGAACTCTTTGACAAAACATCTAAGTTATTTAGGAAGTCGATTTTCAATTTTTAATTTTTAAGGACCTTAAAATAACGATTTTTTTTTCAAAAATCTCATGAAATAATTGCATTACATTTGTATTTATTTTGGGCACATCTAATTTTAAATCAAAAAAGTGATTCCTAAAGAGCATAGTCTAGAAGTTTATAAATTCAACCATATTTTCAAAATTACAATCGGACTTCAGGAAGTATGTTAAATTTACTACCGCTTTTAGTAGTTTTTATAGCATTACAAACATGAATATATTTCATTTTTCGTAAAGTATTGACATGTGCCTGCGCGTGCGATAGTTTATTTCAGCGGCGCGGCGGCTTGCGGCTGCCGACGGGCCGTGATAGATTCTCGGAAAGTCAGATTCAATTAGTCGATAAGGATTATTGGATAGGTATAGAACATTACTAATGGGCGACAATAATAATAGTCAGTGATAATAATTATATTTTTCCAAATTTAATACAACAAACATATTATATTTAAATTTTAAGGAAATACAAAGTATAAAAATACTACCTATGATTTATGAATCATTTGATTTCAACACAACACGCCGATCAGTAAGGTTGTCTGTAAGTTTTGTGTTCTTTTTAATTTTTTTTTTACAAAATGGGTTAAGATTGGCGTTATGGGAGAAAAGCTAGACGTAAGTTAAGTGCATCTAAAATAAAAAAAAAACATCGATTGCAAAATGTACAGAATGAAAAAAGTGATATACATAATAATTTCTAAATTGGTAAAATAATGTGGTAAATATTTTGGAAAATAAATTTTTTTTTTTACTTTTTTCTTTGGTTACATGGTTTTAAAATTAATTGATTTAGTATACGAACGTGAGTTTCCTTTTCCTATCGGAGATGGTTTGTAATACTACTTTTTTAAATGGTTTTATTTGTATAAAAAAGCTATGTAATAGTCAATAACTATGAAATAACAAAGTGATTCTCTTGTAGTCTTGTGTAGTATAATGTAATTGTACATTTTTGCGAATTGCAGCGAAAGCCGAGTAGTGAATAGGTAATATACCTAATAGTAAAAAATAACGCGCGCAATTGATCATAATATATTGTCATTTTTATAGCATTTTAATTATACGTAGTTCTGGGAATTCGTAATACTGTCAACCGATAGTCCGAGGCACGCGGTAATGGTTTACCCACACTAATGTTCATTTACTACTCACACATAGACATAGCAAAAATGTTCATGTTAAGTGAATTGCCTAAATATTACTCCTTAAAACATGATATGCTGGAGCCCCCTTAAGTAATTTATATATTTAACTATTTACGTCTACCCTTCTTTCAAATTTTCAATCCTTAGATATAAAAGTTGAAAATTTTATAAATTTTAACTACAAAATAATTATTACATTTTAAATTTGATAAATTTTGTCAAAATTCGATTTTTAAATGCTTATAGAAAAAAATTGTGCCTATGTATTTTTAATATTTTAATAATTATTTAACAATATATCAGGAGCCTTGTATTACATTTTTACACATTTTGGCAAAATAGATAAAACTTTATTGATATTTATAGAAAAAAAACTAAAAAAATTGAAAACTGTAAATGTCCGTACACAGCTCAAAAAGAGTCAAAATATTTTCAAAATTGTACAGTGTATGGGAAATGCTAATATGAACATTCAGTGAAATTTGCATGTATCTACAGTTATTTGTTTTTGAATTACAACAAAATAAGGAAATCGCTACATGAGGAATCGAGTGAATATCCAAGGTTGTAAAAATTTGAATTTCAAACGCTCATAAAAATGTAATTTGACTTTCCGGTAGAGATTCTTTTATTGATAAAGATAGACAATATTTATGTATTTTGTTCTTCATTAATTACAAACTGTATTTTATTAATAAAGCATAACTCATTGTTTTTTTTCATGATTTTTTCTGACTACAAAAACTTATTCCCACTCTTGGGTTATAGTAGAGAATTTGTTTACGCAGACCAAAGCCTACGGACTGTTATCCGTTGAACTATGGGTTGCCATTTTTTACTTTCATAAGACTGCATACATGTACTCAGAAACGATATGTAAAAACAATATAAATCACGACTCTCTCATGATATACCAAATAAAATATCATTTTATATTCATACACTATTTTTATTGCAAATTTGTAAATAATAATTTTATATATTGTTTGTAAATATAAGTAATAATATTTATTAAGTAATATTTACTTGAAATAGGTAATTTTTAATAGCCCGCTGCGCAGGAGTAGAACACCCACAGCACGACTAGTCATTGTCAGGGTGGCTGAGGAAGTAGGGGCTGCAGATGCAGACACCACGCGACGCAGCGATTCAATCGGATCCCGGAACGACGACAGAACACAACGACGGAGACAGAAGGAAAACTGGGAAACCAACAACGAGCACCCTCCAGAACACCACAAGGAGAAGGAAGCTCAGTACGAGTTTCGAGGCCGGCTGGCTATCAAGCCGGGCCAAGAACATGAACATGACTTTCCGACTGGCGGGCAAAAAAGCCGGGTCGGGAAGTCAAGAAATGCGAACAGCGGGCCATAAGCCAACAATGTAATCTTTTTTATTAATAAAATGTATGAATACTAATTTCAATGTGCACCCACTAAGGGACTAAACAATGGTGTAAAAAATTAAATTATAAATGTACTACTAATGTATTATTAAATTTAATAAACGATGGCGGCGTCGCGGAAGTAATGCGAAAGCTGTTCCCGCGACGCCGTCAGTTCAAAATTGGAAAAAAAAAAAAAAAAAGGTAATTTTTAATAATAATTGTTTAAAAAAATAAAAACAATCAATTGACTATAGGTACCTAATTTCTTTCTAATTACCTATATAAATATGTGTATAATATAAAATATACTTTTACATCAAATAATAGTCAAAATTATAATTTTGACTGAATCAAAATTTGTCTAGACTACTACAACTTTTACAAAGAAAAATTGTTATGAGTATATATGTTTAAGTAAAATTACTTTTTTTGGTTCAACTAAAGAAAACTTTAGGTTATTAGATATGTAAACATTGGAGTCTGTATTAAAAAAAATAACTATTGTATATATAACTAAAATCTCCGAATCCTTTCTGGATATGAAAAAGGTAATAAATAAAAGAGAAAATATTGCATTTGATGTCAGAATGGAGTATTCTAGGAAAGCATTTGGTCAAAAATTCATAGATTATCTATGTCCAAAAAAACTACAAGTTAATGCCAGTAAATATAAAAAGGTACATACATATTCTATACCAGGGATGGCCAACCCAAATGATCTTGAGGGAATATTTGTAAATACATTACAATCCTGCTGGCCACATATATGGTTGCCAAAAAAAAAAAAAAAAACGCACTTCAACAGTCACAGCGAACTGAGCGAACGGACAGGTTATGACTGTTATTTTTCACGTTTTATTTTAACAATACATTTTGCTATGAGATGGTATCTACACGTATATATTTTTATCAGATTAGATTAGAATTATTACTTTTTTTGCAATTACGTTGTTAATAATACAGATACCGCGTTGTGTGGGCATTCCAGAATATTTTATAGGCGCAAAATTAATTTTTTTTTGTAAATATTTGAGAAATGTCGAGGGCAGCAAAACTTTCCAATGCGGGAAAATGCAAATTATTTCAAATAATTACAATTATATTTAATTTTGTAAAATAAAAACAATTATAAGTCAGACTATTTTTTGAGTATAATATTCAACCCTGCCCATGCCATACCAATTTTGGGTTTCATAACTGAAGAGGATTACACTAAAAGGTATAATGTGCAGTCTCCCCCCCCCCCCACCAATCAATGTTGTAACTCAAAATTTGGTTTTAATGATATAAAACACAATATTATTAATTTTATTTTATTTTCACACAAAATTCACCAATTGTTGGAAATAAATTTTATTATAATACATTAATACATATAAGAATACATCAACACAATAGTTTTAAACAATTATAATATGTTAAATAAAATTACAATAATTTTGTTGATCAGTTAAGCCAGTTTAAGTCAGTGGCGGAGCCAGGGGGCCAGGGGCGCCATGCCCCCCCCCCCCAATTGGCCGTGTTTTTTTTTTAATATTTGTTTATAAAATTGCAAAAAACTTTTTGAAACAAGATGTGTTGATCAACATGATTCGCTTATAACATTAAAAAAAGAACAATAATACAAATTGTATCATGTTTAACACATTAAATTATAATTTTTTTGTTTATAACACCGTTCAATTATAAATTTTATAATGATGTAATATAATACAATTGACATTAAAAAAAAAAAAGATTTTTATAAATCCACCAAACATATTTATTTAATATTAACAATATTAATGTTCTAGAAAACTTTAATGAAGAAATGCATTTTCAAATCAACTAAAATTTAACAAATTCTACGAGCTTCAATTATTCGTTCATAGAATTCTTGAGGTATACCAATTTTCTTTAGACACTCATCACTAGACTTAAACATCTGTTCTTTGAAATAGTGAATCATTGCTTCCCAACATATAACTTTCAATTTGGGTATCGTAATCCATGCACTAGTAATATCATTTGAATGGGTACGTGCATCTAAATCACTACGTTCAGTAACTATGCCTCCATAACAACATATACGACCAGAAGGCGTTACAGCAGTTGAGTGCAAGTATACTGGAAGAGGCATTATACAATTGGTAAGCTTTTCCCATTGCATAGTGTCAATATCAATACGCCAAACGTCATTGAAGGTTTGGAAATCACCAAGACCACCACATAAATACACCAAATTGGATTTCTCAGGACATTGGACACAGCTATGCCAGTATCTGGTCTTCGGACATCCAGGTTCTGACACCCTGTGGTCGTGTTTGGCCGAAAGTAATTGCCACTGTTTGGTATCCACATCAAACATATGGATTTTCTAGTAAAAATAATAATTTCTGAATATCAAATGAATGAATTTAAAATAATTAATTATTGTCATCATTAAAATACACAAATTGCCCTATCTTGTTGTATGCATAGCACTCAGATTTTCAATATAACAGCAACTGCAGCAAGCATTCTGTATACTCTACCGAAATAAGACATAGTACAGTAGTTATAAACTTATAACATATATGACTAAACGGTACATTTTGCGAGACTACTACCACAAGACTTAAGAAAAATATTAAAAACCCTTGATCACAGTTTTTTTTATAAGCATTTAAAGTTAAAAAATTGACAAAATATGTAAAACTCACAAAAATTAGCAAATTATTTAAGAATTAAATTAGTTAAGAATTCGTATAATGTTATCAACAAATCTAAAGAAATACATAAAACAGTTTATTTTTAGTAATTTTAAGTTCAAATTTATACATAATGAAAAATTTATTTATACATAATAAAAAAACCTAGAACAACTATTTTAGTTATTTTGTTGTGATTATATAATATTATTCGTGGGTACTTGAAACTTCTAAAGGATACTATTATATATCTGTGATAGTATCAAGGTTTTGTTGATGTATAACGCGTTATAAGTACCTAATATATATTGTGATATGATTTATTCGGAGTTTATTATAGGTAACTAAAATAGGTCAATGTCTCATACCTAGACTTGACTACCGTCTTCCCTCAGAATCGTTTTTCTTATACAATGATAATATATCATTGAATTCAAATTTAATACCATCCATTATACAGTGACCCACTTGTAACCTACTGTACAGCAGATCGACTTTTTTAATATGTAGGTATTAGATGTATTATGATTTATAATTTGTTACAACTATTTTAAAGAAACTTATTGAAAATTAATAAAAATAATTTCCTATGTTACAATGTCACTAAATTAATTTAATTCAAATTGAAAACTATTCGGTTAGTAATAATATTAGTATTGACATATATTTTAATAATTTGGTTTGTATGTCCTGCAGAGGAATGACATATCATATATATTTTATTATCATGGATTATGATGTTCGGTATTTATTGATTGTACTTATATTTTAATATATATATTTGCCCCAATGATGTAAATTCTGATATTGTCAATAATAAACCTTGGCAAGATCATTGAAGGCTAGTATTGTGATTTTAGGAAACAATTATAATCCGTAATAATTTACATCATTGTTTACATTCGTACACTCAAGATAATGACTAAGTAATACATACATATTTCATCATTGTTTGAGACAGTTATTCATTATTTAATATGGCTAGGAATTATTATTGTTATTAACTAAAAATATAGTTATTGTCATTATTGACCAGTAATTCACTAAATTTACTAAATATTGCAACTAACATATGACCTTGATATGTATGATATAACGTAAATTTACATCATTATTTCGGTCAATTTTAAAGTTATTATTTTATTTCTTTAAAATAAAGACACTTAGAAAAAATAATGCATTCATAAGATGGTTTAAATTCATAAAAGAATGAATAGGATTGAATAAAAAGTAAATGGGTTGAAAATACCATATTTAAAAATATAAATTAAAGATTTTACACTAACCGAAAAATCATAGTGAATAGAATTATTATCAGCATCACGTATCTTGCTACCGAATATGTATATTCTGCCCTTGAAGAATACAACTTTATGTTCATGTATAGGTGTAGGGTCATGATCTTCCCTTATTGTCTTATATAACAACTCCCATTTTCTTGTACTCAGATCAAATCGATGAACATCCATATCATTTTTGGGACCGGTTGTGTTACTAATTGTATAAATATATTTACCATCCATTACAACACCTAGTCCACATAATTTGAACGGAACATCTCCAGACTCTTCTAAATCTATAAAGCTCATTCCATTTTCTTTATATTCATTGGCTAAATTTGCTGGAATCATTAAAATTGTGTAATAATTTTACTAATTTTCATCATTAATGTAAGTTGTGTCATTAAAATATTACCCAAGTATATGCGGTTTCTACAAATTCCTCCAGATGGAACTCCAATACCTCCATATATAATAATTATGTCACCAGGTAGTGTAACTATTTTATAACTAGTAACTAATTCCTGAGGAACATTTTTACAATTCACAATTATCCATTCACCTGAATCCAAACTATACTTCCAAATCTGACGCATAACTCTTTGACCAGGAGCATCCTACAAGTACACATTGATTATGGTTTATACCCTTAAGAGAATGTCAGTAAGATGAGTTACGATATAAACACAGGCAACCAAAAGATAATGAACAGTAAAATAATATCCATTTTAAGAGCAGAACACAGTTCAAATTGAAAGAAATAATTATAAATAGAGACCGGATTTTTATGTTTTTACATATCTTTACTGAGAGTATGCAGCTCCAATCATCTAAGCTTTCTCGACGATTCATTTACCTATGAACTGATTTTAAACCAAAAAAAAAATATATTAAGGTTAAAGAATATTTTGAGTAAAAAACATGTCCTAGAAATATATTGCCATGTTGAATCCAAATTTGAATATTTTATAAAAATCTAATAGATAATAAAAATTATTTATTTTTATTATTTAAAACTTATTATTATTATTATTATTTGAGTTCGTTAGGCTGAATTATTTAAGTTTGAGTTTGATTACATAATATTATTCTGTTAATAAAATATAGGTATGCAATTATTTTTTATTTTTTATTTTTCAATTTAGTATTATTATTTTTTTTAATTCATAAGTTTGTGTTACAACAGTTAAGTATAGGTACACCAGTATGGCAGTATATCACCATATTATAGATTAAATATAACTGTTTATTTTTATAAACTGTTAATTTTAGTTGATTGTTCAGTTTATGACAAAGAAAATGTTTTCATAAAGAATATTTTTGCATATAAAGGATTATTTTTATGAAATTATAGAGCATAGAAGTATCTTATTTTCAAGATTTTAAGCGCATATAAATACGGTCTCTAATTATAAATATAAGGAATTGTCAGTAATTTGTATAAAGAAAAAAAATGTGTCTCACATTTGTCCGAACATTGAAAGTTTGAAACGATAATAAATAGGCATTATTATTGCACACCACTTGATGTCCATATATAAATATTGAACCTTGCGCTGGATCACATTCTTTCCTTAATACAGTGAAATGAAACGGTTTGAATTTGTATGTTGAAATGCAATTATTTGCCATTTTGAACTGCGTTACACCTATTTAGAACATAAAAACTAATTATAAATTTGGACAGGAGTATTTATGTAGAGTAACATAATGAGTATACATAATAAAAAAGTAGAATTTTTGTTGGAATATTTTCTGTAAAAATACTATGTTTGTATAAAAAATAAATATAACCACCACCTTAGTAATATCATTTTTTAAGAGTAAATATTTAATTGGTCCTAAACACGAGCTTGCTCAGTGAGGCCCATTATACATTGTACACTATAATATTATGTAATATTTTATTTATGTAATATTCTTGTATTTTGCAAATAAATAAATAATAATATTTTAAAAATATATTTGAGACTTGAGTTACATCTCAGTTATTTAAATGAAAATAGGGGTATTCTCCTATCCACGGCCCCCGGGTGTTAACATTTTTAGAATTAGTCCTGTATATTTTTGTTTGAAAATAAATAAATAAACTCTTACCACACTTCAGTAGAAACCAAAAATGTAAATATAATAACTGGTGTTCACGACTTCTTGACTGGAGTTCTTGATGTTTCGGATAAATACACAGTCTTAGATGAGAAGGTCGGACAACTGTTCATTATCATTTATCAGCATTCCGCTTAAATTGATCGTTTCCTGCAGAAGTTTTTTGAGGTTATGGCATTATAGTATTATACAATTTTAAAATAATTTTCGAATATATAAACTAGCTAGTTTATTAAAAACCAACTAATTTATATTTTCGAAGAAAAAAATATAATATAGTACAAAAAAAAAATATACCCCGAATGCCATTTAAAAAAATGGCAGTAAATAAAAACGGTTCATATCACATTCGTGGATGAAAAATTTCTTATCTATTTCGCTTAGAATAAACAACAAATAGCATTTATCACGAATTTAAAAATATTTAAATTTTTAATACAAGGGATTCATTAACGTAAAACACTCGCATTATCTCATGTATTAATGTTTTTGAAAATATTTTTTTTTCGTAGTTTCTAGTTGTTAAAAAAACAACATTTTTATTAAAAAACTATATTTTTAAATATTTTTTATCCTTATAATTTTGTAAGTTTTTCCTTTTTTGAATGACAGCATAGAGTTTTAATTTCATATTCCAAAGCAGAATATTTTTCTAAGTATTTTGATACATAAAACCCGAACTTAGGACGAGTAGTTTATGAGTTATAAGTATTTTAAGTTTAGATGGGCGGATTGGAGTGGTATGGCCGTATGGGGTTACCCCGCAAAATGTTTATCTTTCACAACCGAGTACTGCATTATCTGAGGGGGGTTCGGGGGGCCTGGCCGCCCCCAAATAACAAAACATAAATTCAATAAAATCACACTATACATGTTTTGGATAACATAGGTATTAAGATATCGATTGTGTAAATTGCTATATTGTAGGTCGCTCGCATTCAACAATAAAAAACATTTATATTTCTAACATTATAAGTTATAACTAATTGAATTTACATTATTTTGTTGGGTAATAAAGCTTGAAAATTTAATACACTGACCTTAATATATTGTAACAATGACATTTGAAAAATATTAAATATTCAGTTACAATTATTAAAGTTCAAATTTTGACAAAAATACGTAAAAATCACGAAAACCACACTAAAAAGCAGGCTATGATTATATTTATGACAGGATTACTACATCACTTGCCTACAGCACTAAAGTCACGCAATTCTTTACTTTAGAAGCTTGAATTGAATTAGCGGTAGACGAAGAGGTTGAATTTAATTCTAAGTTAGGCTTAACTCAGGGTTTTTTTAATGATTTTTTCTGACTACAAAAACTTATTCCCGCTCTTGGGTTATAGTAGATAATTTGTTTACGCAGACCAATGCCTAAGGACTGTTATACTGTTATACGTTGAAATAAAAAAATAAAAACAATCAATTGACTATAGGTACCTAATTTCTTTCTAATTATATAAATATGTATATAATATATTGTATAATATATAATATACTTTTACATCAAATAATAGTCAAAATTATAATTTTGACTGAATCAAAATTTGTCTAGACTACTACAACTTTTACAAAGAAAAATTGTTATGATAATAATATGTTTAAGTAAAATTACTTTTTTTGGTTCAACTAAAGAAAACTATAAGTTATTAGATATGTACCCATTGGGGTCTGTATTTAAAAAAATAACTATTGTATATATAACTAAAATCTCCGAATCCTTTCTGGATATGAAAAAGGTAATAAATAAAAGAGAAAATATTGCATTTGATGTCAGAATGGAGTATACTAGAAAAGCATTTGGTCAAAAATTCATAGATTATCTATGTCCAAAAAAACTACAAGTTAATGCCAGTAAATATAAAAAGGTACATACATATTCTATACCAGGGATGGCCAACCCAAATGATCTTGAGGGAAAATTTGTAAATACATTACAATCCTGCTGGCCACATATATGGTTGCCAAAAAAAAAAAAAAAAACGCACTTCAACAGTCACAGCGAACTGAGCGAACGGACAGGTTATGACTGTTATTTTTCACGTTTTATTTTAACAATACATTTTACATAAGCTGGTGTCTAATCGTATATATTTTTATCAGATTAGATTAGAATTATTACTTTTCTTGCAATTACGTTGTTAATAATACAATTACCGCGTTGTGCGGGCATTCCAGAATATTCTATAGGCGCAAAAATAATTTTTTTTTGTAAATATTTGAGAAATGTCGAGGGCAGCAAAACTTTCCATTGCTGGCTGCGGGTTGGTCATCAATGTTCTAAACAGAAGGGAATAGTACATATAGAAATTAAAAAAAAAATTCAGATTTGGTTTTTTTCAATGCTTGAATAAATAAGAAGGAATTATATTTAACTGTTATAATTTAATACTAATTATAAGTATTCTAAACGTATAGACTGATTATTAAGGTCTTGTCCGCTTTTCTTATTTATAATTAAATTGTTCATATTATTCACTCTCTACTACCACCACAAGCATGTGCTTAAAGGCAGTATAATAATGAATAATAAAAACATTTATTTGTTTTTTTTTTTTTAAGTTTACCCAATTACTATTTTATAATATACAATAAAATATATAATCTTGAAATTCTTTTTTTTTCCACTGCACAAAGTAACAATTTTCACTGCACTATTAATTTTTTCACTGCACAAATTGTGTCTCACGGCACACTAAAAAAACATGTTATATAAAATCTGCAAAAACAAAATTTATGAAATTAAATAAATATATATAAAATTAGTTTTTGACTATTAAGATTGAATATTGATGATTCACTTACATTAAATTGAATTCAAATCATTATTTCAAATAATTACAATTATATTTAATTTTGTAAAATAAAAACAATTATTAGTCAGACTATTTTTTGAGTATAATATTCAACCCTGCCCATGCCATACCAATTTTGGGTTTCATAACTGAAGAGGATTACACTACAAGGTATAATGTGGATTTCCCCCCCCCCTACCAATCAATGTTGTAACTCAAAATTTGGTTTTAATGATATAAACCACAATATTATTAATTTACTTTTATTTTGACACAAAATTCACCAATTGTTGGAAATCAATTTTATTATAATACATTAATACATATAAGAATACATCAACACAATAATTTTAAACAATTATAATATGTTAAATAAAATTACAATAATTATGTTGATCAGTTAAGCCAGTTTAAGTCAGTGGCGTAGCCACTATTTGTTTGTAAAATTGAAAAAACTTTGTGAAACAAGATGGGTTGATCAACGTGATTCACTTATAACATTCAAAGTACTGTATATTTATATAATTTCTACTCTAGAACTTCTTGAGAAATATGATACAAATCCTGAAAAGTCAACCAAAGCGTCGTTATATGTGAGTGCTATAACTATGAATGATTTCCTTGTCTCTCTGGAAGTAGCTGTTACTTGTTTCTCATATACAATACAATTAAGTCAAGTACTACAAAGTTAACAACAGGACCTATCTAAAGCTTTAAATGATGTAATGATTGTTAGAGAAGCTTTAGAAGCCATTCGAGAAGATGCTGATAAATCCTTTAAGGAAATAATGAAAAATGTTAGAAAAATAGCTTCTGACATTGAAATACGCATGCCTCGAATCTACGGGAGACAAACTGCCCGAAACAATGTTAATGCCAAAGACGCAGAGGAATATTATAAAATAGTATCTAATATTTATTCCATTTCTTGATAATTTAATCATGCAGTTGCATTCAAGATTTGATAAGACTAGAAACTATTATACCACTAGGACTCATACCATCTAATTTTTCACATTATGATGACCAAGCAATCTTAGCTGCTGCTTCTATTTACGAGGATGACTTTTTAGTTAGTATGAATACATGTTTGAATCTGAGTTATTCATATGGATAAATCAATGGCAATTGAGAGAAAAATTACCAGAGACTGCTGTAGAAGCAATTCAACACTGCACAGCTCTTTCTACCAAATATAAAGAAGATTCTTGAATTATTTGCTACTCTGCCTGTAACATCCGCTACTTTAGAACGCACATTTTCGGTTCTTAAAAGACTGAAAACATATTTAAGAGTTACAATGACGGAAGAAAAGTTGAATGGTTCGGCCTTAGCTACAATAAATAAAGATGAATTGGAATATGAAAACGTAGAAAAAGATATAATGACTGCATTTATAAATAAATCTCCTAGGAGGATGAAAGTTTTAGATTGGACATAATAATAGTACTTATTAAAAATATTTACCTTATATTTATTAAGTTTTAAGTTGTTTGCAATAAATTATTATAAATAAAAAGTTGTTAAATATTTTATTAATTTCACCCGGATGTATTTAGTATTATATGTGGTCACATAATAAGTATACAAATTATCTCAATTATTTTTTATAATAAAAACAGTACAAATTTAATTTTTTTAGATATTTTGGTTGCCCCCCAATTTTAGAAATTTTGGCTACGCCACTGGTTGAAGTCAGATTTATACGTATTACAAATTATATCTAATAATTATTTTTAATTCTTATAAATAAAATAAAAAAGAACAATAATACAAATTGTATCATGTTTAACACATTAGATTATAAATTTTTTGATTATAACACCGTTCAATTATAAATTTTATAATGATGTAATATAATACAATTGACATTAAAAAACAAAAAAGATTTTTATAAATCCATCAAAAATATTTATTTAATATTAACAATATTAATGTTCTAGAAAACTTTAATGAAGATATGTATTTTCAAATCAACTAAAATTTAACAAATTCTACGAGCTTCAATTATTCGTTCATAGAATTCTTGAGGTATACCAATTTTCTTTAGACACTCATCACTAGACTTAAACATCTGTTCTTTGAAATAGTGAATCATTGCTTCCCAACATATAACTTTCAATTTGGGTATCGTAATCCATGCACTAGTAATATCATTTGAACGGTTAGCTGGATCTAAATCACTACGTTCAGTAACTATGCCACCATAACAACACATACGACCAGAAGGCGTTACAGCAGTTGAGTGCAAGTATACTGGAAGAGGCATTATACAATTGGTAATCTTTTCCCATTGCATAGTGTCAATATCAATACGCCAAACGTCATTGAAGGATTGGTAATCAAGACCAAGACCACCACATAAATACACCAAATTGGATTTCTCAGGACATTGGACACAGCTATGCCAGCATCTGTTAATCGGATAACCAGGTTCTGGCTCCTTGTGGTCGGGTTTGGTTGGAAGCAAATGCCACTGTTTGTTGGCCACATCAAACATATCGATATCCTATTAAAAATAATAATATATGAATATAAAATGCATGAACTTAAAACAATCAATTATTATCATCGTTAAAATACACAAATTGGCCAATTTTGTTGTATGCATAGAACTAAGATTTTCAATATAACAACAACTGCAGCAAGCATTCTGTATACTCTACCGAAACAAGATCTATTATAGATTACATTTTATTGACTTGAAATTACATCTGTAGATAAGATCCTGTTAAACCATATATTGATTACATGTTTTTGTCATTAATGCTTTTAAGGTAATGTTATGACCAGGGAGTGGATTTAAATTTCTAAAAACAAGAAAAATGTCTTTAAAAAATGCCATTTTATGCACATATAAAAAAAAATTAAAAATGCCCTAGGTACAAATTATTTTAAACTGAAAAAAATAAAATCTATAGTTAGAAAATACTTGTAAATGCTTTAAAAATAACAAGAAAAAAATGTTTAATTTTTTAAATCTCTGATGTATAAAATGAAATTTGGCTTCATTATTTCAGCAAAAAATACATTTTGCATTGAAATCCGCTCTCAAGTTATAACATTTTAAGTGTTATTAATTAATAATTATTACTATCAACAAGCTACCATTTATAATCAAATTATTAATTACAATTTCACTTAAGTCACAAATCGTTTTAAATTACAGTAAAAGGTCTATCCTTTTATCAATTGAATTTTAATGGTAGTAAATATAACTCAAAAAACTAAATTTTTTTAATATGTAGGTATTAGATGTGTTATGATTCTTATTTGGATACGACTATTTTAAAGAAATTTGTTGATATTTAATAAAAATAATTCTCAATTTTACAATATCATTAAATTAGTTTAATTCAAATTGAAAACTATTCAGTTAGTAATAACATTAGTATTGACATATATTTATGTAATCATGGTCTATGATATTCGGTATTTATTGATTGTACTTATATTTTAAAATATATATTTGCCACAATGATGTAAATTCAGATATTGTCAATAATAAATCTAGGCAATATCATTGGAGACTAGTATTGACATTTTAGGAAACAATTATAATCCGTGATAATTTACATCATCGTTTAAATTTGTACACTCATGATAATGACTAAGTAATATATTATAAATATTTCATCATTGTTTGAGACATTTATACATTATTTAATATGGCTAAGAAATATTGTTAGTAACTAAAATTATAGTTATTGTCATAATTGACCAGTAGTTCAATAAATTTACTAAATATTGCAGCTACCTTATGACTGTGATATGTATATAAAGTAAATTTACATTATTACTTGGATAATTAATTTTATATTCAAATTAAATAATCAATTTTAAATTTATTATTTTATTTCTTTAAAATAAATTCACTTAGAAAAATAATTCATTCATAAAATGGTTTAAATTCATAAAAGAATGAATTGGATTGAATAAAAAATAAATTTGTTGAAAATACCATATTTAAAAAAATAAATGAAATATTTTACACTAACCGAAAAACCATACTCAACAGCAATATTCTCTTCATCTTCCCCCGTGCCACCGAATATGTATATACTGCCCTTGTAGAATACCACATCATGTAGATATCTAGATTCAGCGTCTTCATCTTCCCCTAGTGACTTATGTAATAACTCCCATTTATTTGTACGCAGATCAAATCGATGAACATCCATCTCATATCCGATACCAGTTGTGCCACCAATTGAATAAATATATTTACCATCCATTACGACACCTTGTCCATATAATGGTATCGGAACATCTCCAGACCCTATTATCTCTTTAAATTTCATTCCACTTTCTTTAAAAGCATTGGCTACATTTCCTGAAATTATTAAATTTGTGTAATAATTTTACTAATTTTCTTCATTAATGTAAGTTGTGTCATTAAAAATCTTACCCACGTACATGCGGTTGCTACAATAGTCACCAGATGGAACGTCAGTACCTCCATGTGTAATAATTATATTACCACATAGTGAAACTGGACTAGATGCTAATTTATGAGGAATATTTTGGCATTTTATACTTTTCCATTCACCTAAATCAAAACAATACATCCAAATCTCCTGCATAATTGATGTCTCTCCTTGACCACGATCATCCTATAAGTACAAATTGATTATGGTTGATACCCTTAAGAGAATGTCAGTAAGATGAGTTACGATATAAACACAGGCAACCAAAAGATAATGAACAGTAAAATAATTTCCATTTTAAGAGCAGAACACTGTTCAAATTAAAAGAAATAATTCTTAATGTAGACCGGATTTTTATGTTTTTACATATCTTTCCGAGAGTATGCAACTCCAATTGGATAAGCTTTCATGACAACTAATTTACTTATGAACTGATATAAAACATTTTTTAGCGCATAAAAAATAATATTTTAATATTAAAGAAGATTTTGTATAAAAAACATATTTTAGAAATATATTGCTATATTAGGTTCAACTTTGAATGAAATATATAAAAATCTAATATAATAAAAAATTTTTTATTTTTATTATTTAAAATTTGTTATTAATATTATTTTTTGAGTTCGTTAGGCTGAATTATTTAAGTTTGAGTTATTTTACTACACAATATTATTCTATTGTTGAACTATATGCAATCATTTTTTTTATTTTTACTATTATTATTTTTTGATTTCATAAGTCTGAATTATTTAAGTTGATGTGTGAATACATAATATTATTCTGTTAATGAACTATATGCAATTTATTTTTTATTTTAGTATTATCATTTTTTGAATTCATAAGTTTATGTTACAATAGTTAAATATAGGTACACCAGTATATCACCATATTATAGATTAACTTTAACTGTTTATTTTTTTAAATTGTTACTTTTATTTGTTTTTCAGTGTTTAATACATTTTTATGAAAAAGAATATTATTTCATGAAGGAATATTTTTGCATATAAATCCGGTCTCTAATTATAAATATTATTAATTGGCAGTAATTTGTATAAAGAAATAAAAATGTGTCTCACATCTTTATCAGAATTGAAACCTCCAATCGAGAGTAAATAGGCAGTATTGCACACTACTCGATGGCCAAGTCTCACCAATGGACATTGCTGCGGATCAAGATTTTTCTTTAATACAGTGAACTCAAATGGTTTGAATTTGTATATTGAAATGCTATTATTCGACATTTTTCACTGCTTAACACCTATTTAGAACATAAGAACTAATTATTAATTTGGACAGGAGTATTAATGTAGAGTAACATAATGAGTATACATAATGCACGTTTGTTGTCTTACACACCAAATAGTTATGTTAAAGTACAGGGATGAAATAATTGCTCATATCTTTTCTAAATTATTATTGATGTCAGTTGTATATTTAATTTTGCTTTCATAGTTTATATATAAGCGTCAGAAGATGTGCTAAGTAGCAAACCATATCAAGTTGTTTTGTCATTGAAAACAAGATGAGTGAATTTCAAAAATGAGTATCATATAGATTTTGACTGTAAACACTTGATTAAAAAAAAATATTTGAAATTTTCAGAAATAGTTAAATGTTTAGAACTATATTTATGAAAAATATGTATTATATTACCAAGTGTTTGATCGTTGCTCAATATTTGTAAAATATATTGAAAATAAAAATTAATGAAATATTTATTAATATTAACTGATGTGTATAATAGACAAATTACCTACATATATCTAATTTTTTGTACTCAGAAATTTTGTTGGAATATTTTCTGTAAAAATACTATGTTTGTATAAAAAATAAATATAACCACCAGCTTGGTAATATCATTTTTTAAGAGTAAATATCTAATTGGTCCTAAACACGAGCTTGCTCAGTGAGGCCCATTATACATTGTACACTATGTAATATTTTATTTATGTAATATTCTTGTATTTTGCAAATAAATAAATAATAATGTTTTAAAAATATATTTGAGTTACATCTCAGTTATTTCAATGAAAATAGTGGTATTCTCCTATCCACGGCCCCCGTGTGTTAACATTTTTAGATTTAGTCCTGGATTTGTTTCCTTGAAAATTAAATTAGCTCTTACCACACTACAGTAAAAACCAAAAATATAAATATAATAACTGGTGTTCACGACTAGAAGTCAAATACGTCATATTATGTAGTATTTGTAGAAGTTCTTTATTTTTCGGTTAAATACACGTTCTTAGATGAATAAGGTCGGACAACTATTCAGTATCATTTATCAGCATTCTGCTTTAATTGAGCGTGTCTACAGAAGTTTTTTGAGGTAATGGCATTATAGTATTATACAATTTTAAAATAATTTTCGACCATATAAACTAGCTAGTTTATTAAAAACTAACTAATTTATATTTTCGAATAAAATATAATAATATGCTCCATAAAAATAACCCTGAACACCATTAAATAATTTACAGTAAATAAAAACGGTTTATATCACATTCGTGGATGAAAAATATCTTATCAATTTGGCTTAGAATAAACAACAAATAGCATTTATCACGAATTTAAAAATATTCAAATTTTTAATATATTACCTATATTATATTATTATAATATACAAATACACTCTTTCACAACCAAGTACTGCATTATCTGAGGGGGGTTCAGGGGGTCTGGACCTCCACCCCGAAATTTTTTCAATATGTCTTATTTATAACCAAATATCAAAACATAAATTTAATAAAATTACAATATACATATTTTGGACCCCTCCCCCCGAAAACATTTCCACTCATATTGTGGTACAACTTTACTTAGTATATTTATTAGACAGTGTTCTCTGGATAATATGACAACTTTGAGTCTTAACATAGTAACTATTAAGACAAAAGTTAATAACATTAAACTATATACTTATGTATTATTTATGTGTTTAGGTAGTTACAGGTAAGCATAATATGAGACTGTTAATTTAATATTCATTATTATTCTCCTAGACTTTCCACCCTAGATGCAAACTTATTGAACTTAAATAAACAATTTTACATAAAACAATTCATTATTTGAATAATTAACAAAGGATATAAATCATTATACTTTATTGTTTATGTTCAATGTCATTAAAATTGAAATATTTATCTCATATAAATATTGCTGAGTTATATTCTTAAATTCAAAACAAATTACTACCTATCATACTAATATAATGCATATTTAATTAACACATAAAATTAATTCTAACGACTGAATTATTGTATCCAAGCACATTTATTTTGTTCTAAGTACATATTATGATATATATTTATTTGGTATAATCATATAGATAAAATCAGACATTTTTTTTAAACTTAATTGAGTTTCATATCGTACCAAATTATTTTGTGCTATGTACAACATATTAAGATATCGATTGCGTAAATTGCGATATTTTTGGTCTCTTGCATTCAAAAACAAAAAAACATTTATATTTCTAACATAATAAGTAATAACTAATTAAATAACATTAAACTATTAATATAATTGATACACTTTGTACAAATATAATAATTTATAATATGTTTAATATTGTAAAACAGGTAGTCAATCTCTATTGATGAATATATAATAATATAATATTTTATATTATTAATATATAGTATAAGTCTAAACAGTACTTTATGATGGACAACTATAACTGTATTATGTTAATTAGTTAACTGTTTAACACTATTGGTTAATTCAATAACAATTTTCTTCACACACCACATTTACTGAAGTGTAATTTATATTTTTACAATATTCATAATCAACATCTCAAAAAAGTAATAATATTTTGGTATATAATAAATAATAATGTATACAACATTTAATATTTTATAAAATGTTTACGTAACACAGCCGTAAAATAAATCAGTATCTACTTAAGTTTTTATATTCTATAATATATTGAACACCACTAATATAGGCTATTACAGTTTAAGTGTTGAACAGTGTCATTATTATTATTATTATTATATTTAAATTTAAACTATTTATTGTAAATCTATATATTAAATATTATAATTATGTATATTTTACACTGTATGTCTGTACCACACTGTATATTTAAAATTAAATTAGAATTATATTCCGTTAGTTATATAAAGTTTATTATTATTTTTATTATTATTATTATTATTATTAATATTAATATTATATTATTTTTTTTAGAAAAATTGACATGCAAAGTTCTTTGAATAATTTTGAATTGGAATATTCAAATTGTACCAATAAGTAATTTAGTTATTTGTTATATTAATTATAAGTTAAATATACCTTTTTATGTAATTATATTTATTACAATTATTAGATAGAATATACATTTATTATAAATGTATACAAAGTTACAACATAATTTAATTTAAAATTTTAGTATTTTTATAAACAATAGTTTGTTTCTTACAATCTTAACAATAATTTAATGTTTCATTCCTCGCAATCAAAATGAATTTCCAAAATGATAGAATTAATCATTATTCAGTTGAGTAATTTCATCTATCTGAAACTCTGAAAAAATCTGAATCTATACGAAATATATGCATGAACTGAAGAAAACATAATTGAGTAGTCCATGTATACATTGATATCCTAGTTTATCTGGAACTTGGAAACCTTCTTTTTCTGACTCTAAGAAACAAAAAAATACATTTAATTGTAATTCTTGTAAACATATATTTTTAAGTAACCGTAACATAGCTATTGAAAATTAAGTGTTACTTATTTATTATGATAACTCTTTTAAAGGTAAACAGTTAGTTAACTAACATAGTCAACATAATATGTGTGTAGTTATGTTGTATAATGTATTATGTACCAAATTTAGGTAATTTCTGGTCTATAGACTTTAACGATACTGGATGAAACTTTGGGATGTGATTTTTAATAAATTGATGTAATTGATGTTTATTAAAATACAACTTGTAACATTAATATAACATATAACATGTCGGGTTCTTGGTATTAGGCTTAAATAATAATATCAGTTCAAGTTCCGATATATAATTGGGGGGCAATTTATTAACAACAATTTTAGGTACAATAAATAATTTATGCATGATGTACTTACAGTATCAGTTAAAAAAGAAATATAAGTATTAAGTAGCGATGATAGTATTGATTTCACAATGATCTGTTTTTAATTATTTTATTTTATTTTTGTGTCATCACATTTTGGTGCATAATAAGGTATATAATTATAACATATTATATTATTATAAGGTTTCTTCCATTTTCTTGTTCGAAATACAACTTTTTAAACCAATAAAATATATTATTTATGATTTGGCTATACAATTTAATAATTAAGTTTTTCTATTAATATATCGTATTAAGTAACTAAAAAAATATATATTTATTTATAATATAATGTATATTAGTATATTATAAGAAATTCTGTACCACAAAAGTCAACTAACGCAAATCCCTTTTTTGAAATGTTGAGTTAGTTATATAATCAGAATATGCTTTTTGTGATCTTTTTAAAGGTATTAAAACGTAAGTCCTATGTACAATAAATCCATAGATAGCAAGAAGAATACTAATTCAAGTCCTAAACTATGATAGGAGTATAGAAACGTATGTCCAGCGTTTACATAAGAAAAGTAATACAAAATAATATTTTTGAAATATACAATTGAAGGTCCATTGCAACAAATATTTTTGTTTTGTCTCTCCTGTAAAATTTGCTTTTTGTGACTTATGTTACTCGACTCCTGTGGTACATAATTTATTAGTGCAGTGCAGAATTTGTGACATACAATATAGCCATAGGTACACGCACTTTTGAACAAGAGTTATTTATCTCCCCGTCGTTTGTGGTATTATAATAGTCATTGCCATTATTTAAATGGCTTACCCGAGAAGTAACTGCAGTTGAGTTGCTGAGAGTTCTAATCATATTTGAAATTTAAAAAAATAAATTAAAATACATCATTATTCCAACACTATAGAACGAGGACAGACATAATATTTTACGTTTAGAATATTTTCTGATTAGTTTACGTATAAAATACAACGGGATTACTAATTTCAACAAAACAATAACAAATGACAAAATAAACACTTTTGGTTATTTTATTTTTATTTTGTGTATTTATTAAAGTTTATAGACACTCGCGCTACAGTATAACTCTTTTTATTTTTATTTTTTAAACTGAAAATGAAAATAATTTAAATTTTGTTTAATAATTTTTGTAAAAATCTAATGACTAAACAAATT